ATGCTCAGCTTAGTTTGATGTTATGTTATTTAGCAATCCACAAAATGTCTACATTTTTACATAAATTATAAATAACTATCAATAACTACAAAACTATTAATTTAATTAGCGATATATATATACAGTATATAATATATATACATCAATTTAAATAATTTAATATTATTTAAATTACATTTTGCTTTGTAGTTATTGATAAACCAATGTCTTGATTTTTACACAAATTTGGCAGTTTATTGCCTTTTCAAGCTCAATCATTCAACCCTGTTGCCAAAGTTGTAAGAAAAAATAATCAAACTTATTTTTTTTATTTATGTGAAATTGATCAGTAACTACAAACCGATATTCATTTATTGATTTAATATTTCATTTGATGTGTAAATTCAGCTTAAAAAATAACAATAGCACACAAATTCTGGGTATTTATTTGGTTAACTGGGTTGTAAAAAGATACAAAGCTCATATAAAACTTAAACAAAATATTACAAATGTAGAACACAGAATTATTAAATATTCTGGAGGACAAACATGTCCTTTTACTGACTATTTGTTGATAAAGTACTAATAAATAGTTCATTTTAAAGTCCCCATGAAATCAAAATTAAAGTTTTTTGGGCGTTAGTAATTATCTACTCCAGTCTTCAATGCTTTTTTGGGTGTTAGTATCAATATGTTAGTCTTAAGGTTATCTATAAGGCAGTGTGCTCCAAAACAGTGACGAAATTCGCATGCTAAGATATAAGCATTCAAAGCTTGCAGTTCGTCACTTCCGCCAAAACAGCTCAACGATTTTTTTGACGTCACATCGTACTTCATCTTCTCATCAAACTTTCTGTCCAATCAAATGCTCGCTAGAATCCGATGCGCCCGCCCCCTACACTATAAAATAGACGCTGAAGCCACGGCTGAAATCGGTCACTTGTCCACAGAATTAGTATTTTCTGTACAGTGAATGGCACGTAGTGCACTATATAGGGGACAGGGAACGATTCAAACAGTGTAAATATGCTTTCCATTGAGGAAAAAAAAGAAGCCTGGTTTCGCGCTGTGTCACGCTAACCACCGCACCGCACACACACTCTACTCCAGTCCAGAGACATGATAGCACGGAGCGGATCACATGCGTGAGTCGGCGCAGACCACAAAGTTTATCGGAGCTATTTGAATTCTACACAGAATGCTATATTTTATAGCAATATGGATGAGATTGTGGCTGGCATACCCTGTCAAATGTGGCTTTACGGGAGCTCAACGGCTCTGAATGGCTCTAGCCCAAGCTGTGATATAAACGAACGCTATTGGCTATTTTAAAAAGGGGCGGGGTTGCTTGATATGTCCCGCCCTGTCTTCCTGTTTCAGTTAAAATGACGTCAACACATAGAGTACCGCTGTGTGTTTCTAAGCATTTCAGGGGACCTTTAAATCATTCCAAATCCTATTTTGTACCCTAAATGCAGAAAGTGCTATGTAATACGTACCTGTCAAGCATAGAGCGTTACTGTCGCTTAACCCAGTGCTGACATCTTAGCTTGTTGACTACATAACCCAAAGAACCGCCATGAGAATTAGAGTCAATTTGACTTTGTGTTATCTCTGCCGGACAGTAATGGCGGCAGTCATTAGCATGCTGATGATTGAACTGATGAAAATAATGGGCTCTCGCTGAGTCACCCGTGCTAACAGAGCTCTCGAGGCCGACTTTCACAGCAGATGCCCTTTCACTAATCACCCCCTCGTCCTCGTTTCACTTATTGTGCTCTTGCGATCTGCCTCTCGATTCACAGACGTGTTTATCACAGGCTTGTTGACAGGTCGCTAATGCTGATACACACACATTAAGAGTAGAGGCTTTTGGCACGATGACCTTATCAAGCGCCACTTATGCGGTCCGCCCAGCTTGACAAAAACACGTCCCACCAAATGATTTGTGTGATAAGTGACGTCAATCGTGCAATTACGTCTATTCGCCTTTTCAGGGCTTCTGTAGTCATTATTAAAAACAACTTTTTTGCTGTTTATCAGGTTAAAATGTATTCATTTAATAGCATGAGAAAAGTTAGATTGATGCATGCACCATAATCTTGATGGGTGCCGCAGGTTCAGATCTGGCCTGCAACATTTTAAATATATTCTGATTGGCTGTGTCACACTTTGTGGGGCTGAATAGCCAAAAACCTGCTTAAAAGCCTGATCAGGGCACATTTGGTAAAGATTATTTTTAGCTGCAAAACTAACCTAGTTCATGTCTGTGACATTAAAAAAGTGCCAACAATGAGGTCACTGTAACAAGGAAGTTAAATAGCCATTGAAACAACATGATGAGATGTGTTTTTGTGTGTTTGTGTGTTTGTGATAACACTGCTAACAGTCCACAGATACCTTTGCTTCTCCCTACACTCAAAAACATAAATTAGATCAAGTACTACCACTATTAACCAACATTAGCAAATTATATTTGCCCAGTTACTATTTATAAAAAGTGTAGAACTTAATTGGCAAATGAACTTAAATGATTTTAGCAAATGGCTGCAATATAACAAAGAGTGAAAAATGTAAGGGGGTCTGAATACTTTCCGTACCCACTGTATATGTAAAAGCAGGACTCTTACACTACTGTTTAAAAGTTTTGTTTTTTTTGAAAAAAATAATACTTTTATTCAGCAAGGATGCATTAAATTGGTCAAATGTGACAGTAAAAATGTTTGTTAAAGATTTCTGTTTTTAAATAATGCTGTTCTTTTTTAACTTTTTGTTCATCAAAGAACAAAACGTTTTCTTTTTTAAAACGTATCGGTTTTCCACAAAAATTGTTGAAAATAACTAATATTCATTTTTTTTCCATGCATGTATTTTTGTATTGGCAACCCAAATAAGTTGGAAAAAACATAAATTGCAGTACTACAATAGACCATTTAGGGGTCACAGACCCCCTGTTGAAGACTCTTGAGCTAGACAGTAGTGTAAGGTGTAATGGAGCACATCCGCTATTACAAATCCAGGATCTCGAGACGTGTTGTAGTGCCCAGACTTGTCGAGAGTAATCTGGAATGAAAGATATTAATAAGACCTAAAACACTGTTGTATGGGACAGATGTGAGGACGGCAGGGTGGCCCGATTGGTGTCATGAGCCAATTAATGAACTGAATTTGAACATTTAAAAATATCTATAAATTTTACCCTTGATACAGCCACTTGAGCATGGTGTCAGAACCTGTTGCCAGAGCCTTGTCTTCTGGACCCCAGCATTCCCTCATAATTCTGATGGATGGACTGCTCTCATCGATTTGATGGACTTGGACAGCATTTTGTCTTTCTTCCCCCAATTCTAATGAATGACTTACACCCATGTCTGTCAGTCACATTATTGGAGCGTTCTTACACACACAGTATCCATGACAACAAGACCGTGTCCACCCAGTTGAAGGAACTTTTTCTGATGAGCGCTGTCAGTCTTTTTTAGCCTCGGTCAAATTAGATTTGGATTTAGTTGAGGGATATAACTGCCATGGTTAAAGTCCAATTATTTTCTTTCACTCTACATCCCATCATGACTCCCTCATCTTTTTTTGCCTCTACATTTACATTTTTATTTCAATTTTGAGCCCAGTCACAGGTTGTGCCAGCGAATCGAGACCAACTTTGGGTATATGAAATTCAAATCAGTATCTATCTAATTCTGGGACACTGAGGACCACTGAAAGACGGAGCAGGACATTGCAATAAATAAGTGTCAATTTATACAAATAATAATGGCAGATGTCAAATTTGCTTTGACATTTCGGATTTGGAAAATAAGATCTTGTCAGATTTACATCCGCTCACTCTGTGTTGTGTAATGAGGTTTTTGGATTTGTGTGTAGCTGTTGAAGGGACACTCTGGCTGCGTCCAACATTCAGAAATGCATAAATTAAACTTAATTTTGGTCAGCTGAAGACAGCTTGAAATCAAATTGTGGTGTTTAATCCGTGTCTGTTAGTTTGGAGGCTGTCTATATATGACTGTACAACAAAAACTTGGGTATATATACGCATTGAAAATGTATCATCTCTTTCTGGAAAATGAACTATAATATTAATATTTTGCTCGAGGTTTAGTAAAATAAAATTTCATGATTCACTACAGCCATTGCTCCCCATTATAAAACAATGGTTATTTTGTACTGTTGTATAGTGCATGTTGTCAAATGTACACTAGTACCATTCAAAGATTTGGGGTCGATAAAATTATTTAATGTTTCTTACGCTCATCAAGACTGAATTTATCTGTTTCTTTTCTATTTTAATGTAAATGTCATTTGTATCCTTTACTCCAGTATTGAGTGTCACATGATCCTTCAGAAATCATTCTAATATGCTAATTTGGCACTCAAGAAACACTTATTATTATTATTATTATTATTATTATTATCAGTGTTGAAAACAGTTGTGCTGCTTAACATTTTTTGTAGAAATCATGATGCATTGTTTATGAGGTTCTTTGATGAATAGAAAGTTCAAAATGACAACATTTTTGTAACTGTCTTTACTGTTAGTCTTGATCAATTTAATGCATCCTTTTTGAGTAAAAGAGTATTGTTTTCTTTCAAACATCCTTTACTCCAGTATTGAGTGTCACATGATCCTTCAGAAATCATTCTAATATGCTAATTTGGCACTCAAGAAACACTTATTATTATTATTATTATTATTATTATTATCAGTGTTGAAAACAGTTGTGCTGCTTAACATTTTTTGTAGAAATCATGATGCATTGTTTATGAGGTTCTTTGATGAATAGAAAGTTCAAAATGACAACATTTTTGTAACATTGTCTTTACTGTTAGTCTTGATCAATTTAATGCATCCTTTTTGAGTAAAAGAGTATTGTTTTCTTTCAAACTATTTTAGCGCTTATCTGCGTGTTCCTTGCATACTGAAAAAGCGCATACTGTACATTACTGCAAAGGTAGTATAAGTTATTCTGAAGGTATCCAGTTTCTATTCTTGCACTGTTATTAAAATGTATGGTGTGTCATGTTTCCTGCAGAGGGCAGTTATCACACTCGTGTCTCCAGATGTCCTGTATCTGTTCAGAGTGCAAGCTGTATGTCAGAGAGACCAGCGCAGTGACTTCAGCCAAACACTTTTATTCAAAGGTTTGTCCCATTTTAAGTGGCTTTCTCAATTACTCATCAGTTACTGCTGCTATTCAAATTCTTTCGAACTGATTTTCATTCTGTGTGATTTATTTTTCAAGCAAACACCACAAGGATATTCGAGGGCACAAGGATTGTGAAAACTGGAATGGTGGGTAACTGGTTTAATAATTTCTAAAGGCCTGTTCACGCCAAGGATGATAACTATAACAACAACAATACAGATATAGTTTTAAAAATCATTCAACATTTTAAAGAATAGCAGAGATTTACCAAAACCTTTGAGCAGTGATATATGCATTGAAAATTTCTTACTGGAAAATGAACTAAAATATGAATGCTGTCATCATCTTTTTGTCTATTGAAATGTTTTGTCTAATAAAAAAGAAAACATTGACAGCCAATCAGAATCTGTCCAGCTTTAAAGAGCTTGAGCATTTAAAGCGGCAGACGACAGCACTGCAGCACATGCTTATAATATCAGATGTTATCATGCGTTGGTGTGGACGCTAATATAGTTATCAACTATGAAGTGTATTTATTTTTTCTTCTACCGCCCTGTTCTAGCCCACGGTTTCCCCCGCCTCTTCTGCAGACATGGCCCCTATAAGCTCAGGCTCCTCAACCTGGACATCCGCCGGCCTCCCCTTTTCCTTCGTCTCAATGGCTACGGGAATGGGGCCTCCATCCAGTGGTGGACAAGCCACTGTAGCATCTGTGGTGACCAGCACTCTGTTGGCAGGACTGGGTTTCAGTGGCAGTGTGATTTCTTCCCTCCCAGGATCCTTTTGGCCAACCCACTCTACAAACTCAGGCCCCACGCCCACTCAACATCCAGCCACTCCCACAGCCGAAAACACCCCATCTGACAGCAACATCCTGACCTCTGAGGACAGCACTGAAGCTAATAACAAACAGGAAGAAGACCGTGAAAGAGAGGAGAAAGAGGAAGAAGAAGAAGAGGAGGAGGAAGAAGAGCAGGGAGAAGAGGAGAAGAAGAAAAAAAAGGGGAAAGATGTGACAGTCAAGGACAAAAAGCAGGACAAAGCAGTGCCCCAAAAACCAACTGCCCCAGTTCCAACTTCAAAACACAGGGAAAGGGGTCGAGAGAGGGCTGATGTTAACACTGAGAACTCCTCATTGGCCCCTCAAACAGTGGAAAAGCAGGTGCCTTGTGCCACAGAGAGGCCTTCTGGTGAGGATTCATCAAAACCAACATGGCTGGTAGAGAATGACACTGTAGACATGCAGCTTCCCTCCAGCTCGACAGAGACCACCGAACTCACCAATGAAGAGAAGGCGCACTGGCCATACTTCATTCACACTGGTAGGTGAGCTACAGACTTGCAGTCTAAAGCTCAAGGCATCAGCATTAAAGGGTTAGTTCACCCAAAAATGAAAATTCTGTCATTAATTACTCACCCTCGTGTTGTTCCAAACCCGTAAGACCTTCGTTCATCTTCAGAACACAATTTAAGATATTTTTGATTAAATTTGATGGGCTCTCTGACCCTCCCATAGACAGCAAGGTAACTACCATGTTCAAGGTCCAGAAAAGTACCAAGATGATCGACAAAGTAGTCCGTGTGACATCAGTGGTTCATCGGTGGATGTAAAGTTACGAAGCTACGAGAATACTTTTTTGCACAAAGAAAACAAAAATAACGACTTTATTCCACATTTTCATCTCTACTGCGTCACTTGTGGACGCGCGTTCACTACAGTATCATGACACGAGCGTATGGCGGCGCTGACCCAGATCCGGCGTAATGACATCATCACGCGCCACCAGACGCTCGCGTCATGGTCCTGTCGTTATTTTTGTTTTCTTTGCGCAAAAAAGTATTCTCGTAACTTTACAGTTGAACCACTGATGTCACACGGACTACTTTGTCGATCATCTTGGTACTTTTCTGGACCTTGAACGTGGTAGTTACCTTGCTGTCTATGGGAGGGTCAGAGAGTCCTCAGATTTCATCAAAAATATCTTAAATTGTGTTCCGAAGATGAACGAAGGGCTTACGGGTTTGGAACATTAATGTAATTAGTAATTAATGACCGAATTTTCATTTTTGGGTGAACTAATCCTTTAATATACACAAAAGACTATTAAAATTAATAATAAGTGGTGCCAAATTGTCTCCAAAAAACTTTAAATAATATTAAAATATATTGAAATATATTGAAATACAAAATATGTGTTAAAATGTATAAATACATGTTAAAACATTTAAATTATTTTTTAATGAAAGAAATTAATACTTTTATTCATTAAGGATGTATTAAACTAATTTAAAGTGACAGTATTACATTGCTACAAAAAAATCTATTTCAAATCAATGCTATTCTTTATTTGAAAAAAATATATAAAAATCCTAAAACAACTATTGTGATTTCCATAAAAATGAGAAGCAGCACAACTGTTTTCAGCATTGATAATAAGAGATGTTTCTTGAGCACCAAATCAGCTTATTTAAATGATTTCTAAAGGATCATGTGACACTAAAAACAGGAGCAATGACTGTTGAAAATTCAGCTTTGGAATCACAGGAATAAATTAAATTTTACAATATATTGAAATAGAAAACAGTTATTTTAAATTGTAATAATATTTCACAATATTACTGTTCTTCTTGTATTTTGGATTAAATAAATCCAGGCTTGGTGAGACTTATATAAAAAAATATCTTACCAACCCAAAACGTGTGAATGGTGGTTGATGTAAGTATTATTGTGAAATAAATGTTTATTAAAATAGTATTCAAATATATAATAAAATGTAATTAAATAACATAAAATATATAATAAAAACAAAATGACAATATAAAATGTATAAACAAAAAATAAATAATCTGAATCTGAATATAAAGTACTATATAATGTAATAAAGACTGCTGTATATGGATTATTGTAAAATATATTATATTACATGGACATTTATAGTTGAAATAAGCTTTGCAAAGGAAGATCGTTGTATAAAACATCTTTTTAAGTGGGAGAACTTGCACAATTGGTGGCTGACTAAATACTTTTTTCCCCCACTGTAGCTGTGTTGAATATGCATGAATGCGATTGCAAGCATTTATACTCAAAATAAACTCTGCTTTTTGTATTTGTTACCTTGCTGTGGTCTCCTTTGACCATCATGCAGAGAGGAACAGCATCTCCACAGTCACCCGAGACCCGCTGTCAGCATCCAGACGGATGGAGTGGATCATCCCCCTGATGGTGGTCTCTGCCCTCACGCTGCTCTGTCTGATCATGCTGCTGGCTGTCCTGGTCTACTGGAGGTAAGACACTGTTGAAAAACCATAGTTCATAAGGCAGAGGTGAATCGGCTATTGACCAGCACACTGGTCTTAGATCATCTTGGACCTTTATCGGGATCTGAACTGAGAATATAGCATCTAGAATCAGTTTTATTCATCTAATTTCCTTATCTTGTAACAGCTTCTACATTCATCCGCCTAATTTTTTGGAGCTTTGAGTTTTTTTGTTTAGTTTTTTTGTGAACGAATGCATCACCTAATTAATATTCATGACAACATGTTATGTGGAGTAGATCTGTCTGGTCATGGCTGTGGCTGGTTTGTAAACAGTGTAAGGTCGCTCTGACCCCTGAATCCACACCTCATCTACCTCTTTCTACTCCATCTACTGGCCTTTATAAACCTGGCTCAGCTCCCTGGAGAGTCCCAGCCCCATCTGCCCGCCCTCTCCCGGACCGCTCTCAGCCCCGTGGTAACCGAATAAAAATCCTCCTATGGAGCTTCCTGCCAAATACCACCATCCTCCTGTTCAGTCTTGTGTCTGTTTGTGAGCTAAGAGGTTGCGGGCCCCCTGGGGACCATGAGTCTTGTTTGGAGGGACCCAGCTGTGCTCCAATCTGTGAAGCGTATCATTTAAAATGTGAACAAACAGTAATGTTACATTAAAACATTAATATTTAAAAGCAATTTTATATTTAAAATGTCTGTAGGACATAAGATGATTCTTAAATGTTATATTTTTCTTTTTTATTACAGGTTTATATTCAGTATTACTTTTAGTCATCTTTATATATTATTATAGTATTTATTGATATTTTGAATAAGCTTATTTTTATATTCTCAGTTATGTTTTATGTTTTTTTTTTTATTGTCATTACTGTTAAAAAGTTTTCATTTTAGTCATTTTAGTACTTTAACTTAAACCTATTTATTTCAGGTACAGCATGATTTATTTCACCAAATCAACATTTCTCATTTCTTGTTTAATGTTTTTAAGTTCAAGTTTTCATATAATATTAATATTTTATTTGAGCTTAATTTCAGTCACTGATAACAGTTTTTAAGTAGTAATGTAGTAATGTAATGTAGTAATTTTAATGTAGTAATTTTAGTACTACAATTTAATCTATGTGTTTCAGGTATAGCATGATTTATTTCACCAAAGCAACACTTTTCATTTTTGTTTAGGTTTTTAAAGTCAAGTTTTCATCCAGTATTTTATTTAATTTTTTATTTAAAATTTTAAATGTAGTTATTTTAGTACTACAGTACAACAGTTAAAAAAATTTTTTTTTAAGTTTTTCATCTAATATTAGATGAATATTTTATTTCAGTTTTATTTGACTTATCAAAATCAATCTTTAATTGTATTATTTTTAGTAAGCTTAATTTCAGTCACTGATAACAGTTTTTATGTAGTAATGTAATGTAGTAATTTTAATGTAGTAATTTTAGTACTACAATTTAATCTATGTGTTTCAGGTATAGCATGATTTATTTCACCAAAGCAACACTTTTCATTTTTGTTTAGGTTTTTAAAGTCAAGTTTTCATCCAGTATTTTATTTTATTTTTTATTTAAAATTTTAAATGTAGTTATTTTAGTACTACAGTACAACAGTTAAAAAAATTTTTTTTTTAAGTTTTTCATCTAATATTAGATGAATATTTTATTTCAGTTTTATTTGACTTATCAAAATCAATCTTTAATTGTATTATTTTTAGTTCAAGTGATAGTTCAACCAAAAATGAAGAATGATGGTAGCCATTAACTTCCATAGTATGGGGGGAAAAAATACCATGGAAGTCAATGGCTACCGTCAACCGTTTAGTTACCAATATTTTTCAAAATATCTTATTTTTGTGTTCAAGAAAAGAAAGGAACCCATACAGGTTTGGAACAACTTGAGGGTTAATAAATGATGACAGAATTTTAATTTTGGATGAACTATCCCTTTAAACACGAACGCAAATTGGAAATCTTGGAAAGTTTTTCATCAATTTTTTAAATTTTACATCAGATTTAATTACCTAAAATGATTTTTAAAGGTTTTAGATTTAGTTAACAATAACAGCAGCACCAACCTCACATCCTTATAAAGCATGGCTAATTTCGACAAATTTTTGCCTGCAAGTTTCTAATTGCAAAGCAATTACGTCAGCCGACAAATCGTGCAACTTGAAAGGAGAAGATAAGAGCAGTTTGATTTGATCACTTGATGGCTTTATAACAGATTGATCAGTGACAGTTAAAGTGAATGAAAGACTGTTTGCACGGTAATCAATCTGTTAAGCGAGTGGAAGGAAGACAAGTGACGAGATGCAACCGCTCCCCCGAGAACGTGTCAAGACATCACCACTGTCAAATTTCAAGAACGTGGAGGACAAAGCTACCGAGCGAACAAAAGCCATTCAAAACATATTCCATTCTCGTTTTCTTATAGCTGGAGTTCACGCGAGTGTTTACCAGAAAGTATGCTGTTATTTGCTTAAAATGAAGTTATGACGTTGCCATGGCGATAGGCTAATGAGAGGTTTACGTAGGCAGGGTTCCATCTGGATGGCTCAGAGGCTTTCAGTCTGCTCAGACTCACAGATGCCCATTAAAGACCAAAGATGCTGCACTCGTCTCCGCGGTACATTTCTACACATACGCATGAGATCGCCTATGAGTTAAAGCAATTTCAGAGCTGATGCAGATGGGGTACGATAAGAGGTTATATTTATCTCTTTACCATTTGCCTGTTTTGCATTCTCAAGGATTAGGGTCTTCACTGAAGGACCCTTCTACACCATTAGTCTAATGTCTCTAAACAAACGAGAGATCCCCCATCATAAAAAGGTCATTAGTGTAGGATTCCTGTCCCCCCTCATCCTCTCTCCTCAGTCCCCCAGCCCCCCTCCTTCATCAGAGCTCAGCGAACATTCAGACCGTCTTTCTTTCTTTTTATCTCACCTCCCAAGGATGACTAGCATCTGCTCATTGCTCTGCATGAAGTACAGGTAGGGGCATGCTTATACAAATGCTTCATGGGAATTGCATGAAAGTCAGTCTTCGATGAGGGGGTGGGAGGGGTCTGTTTTTGTGCACTGCAAATGAAATAAAAGACATCGATTTTTAAAAGATCGATCCCAAGGCAGCAGGAGTTGCGGGTGCAAAGTTTGGCTGGATATTTGGTATCATCACTTTGCTGTTCATGTATACTTTATGAAACCTACAGTGAGAACTAGACATCTGTGGGTGTCTGTATTAGCTAATGCGTTTTAATTATAAATAAATATATCGGGGATAGACTTTATTATGCATTATGAGTTTGCCTAACTTTCTTTTAAAGATCTTGAATGTAATTACTGTCATGCTGTTATAATCTTAATTTGTTGCTGTTGAAAATTTTCCAATTATTAAAGACAGGGTGTTATGCAATATAAAGAAGTAGTTGAATGGATTCATCATTTCATGCATGGTTCATATTAATAATGATAAACTGATACATGTCTACTGAGCTGATTCATTCATCCAATATTTAACCGTTTTGTGATTCTTAGCCTCAGCCGATACCATACACATTTAACAGAATTTAAGTCAATGTTATTTTGCGAAAATAAATACTTAAATAATAAGTTGCATGGAATAATTATGAGAAAAATAGATAAACACATACATAAATAAATACATTTTGTGTAAAAAAAACAAAACACATCTTATGATTTAGTTGTATTATGTCATACATATGTACAGTATATTTAGGCAATATGTTTGGTATACTCATTCTTTTGTAGTAATGGACTGATATCAGAGTTAAAATTGCAGGCTGTTGAGCAGAAACACGGGTCAAAACAGCACAAACAAGAGTATAGAGCTTGACATCTAAAGTGGTTTGTAAATTAGACTCTGACATTAAGTGATCACCTAACAACAATTCTCAGGCTTTCTCAGAATTAAGGAGCTGTCTAAAATCCTCCTGATTACCTGCTTTCCACTAACCGAGGCCGTGTCTGTTCATAGGAGATTCTTCCAGACCGCACATGTGTATATTGAAGACAGGAACTCTCCCAGAGTGATCCGCAATGACAGTTTCCCCATCCTGTCTACAGCGGGTGAGTAGCTAAACAAACAATTGAAAACACATCATGCTGCAATAGCTTTTATTTTACGTCATTTCATAGGTGAAGGGACTTGTGGCCAAGTATGGTGACCCATACTCGGAATTAGTGCTCTGCATTTAACCCATCCAAAGTGCACACACACACAGCAGTGAACACACACACCGTGAACACACACCCGGAGCAGTTTGCTATAAAACAAACTGTTCTTTAGTTTTAGGAGTTCTTTAGTTATGATTTCATCACATGGACCCAAAGGTGATCCTAAAATGGGAGGCAGCTGTCTGTTTGGGGAGCAAAGCAGCTCAATAGCTTTTGACATGGCTATATTCTGAATCAGAAATGGATCAATACGATATAAGAAAGTATAGCAGCAGAGTGAGATGACAGTTTATAAATGAAGAGTTAATTTGCAAAAACCGATAACTCCATTTTAATTTTTTTTCCAGATATCACATTTTTGTTTTATTGCACATTCCAAGTAATATCAATCAAACTGCAGATGGGTTGTTTTGATTAAGTAATAATAACTTAAACAGATACAGGTAATTTACAAAATTAAAGTTAATTGAAAGTATGTTTTTTTTTTACATATTAAAAGTTTGTTTTATAGCAAAAGCAGGTATTTTAGGTAACTCCACATTTCATGTTTCAGACTTTGTAATCTCCTCAGATGACAATGTATATGCCTGACAAATGTTGTTGTTGTTGTGATCATAAACTGTATGGATGTGATTACACGCAATACACAGAGCTTTTCCCTCACCATTGTAACGCGCTGCTTTTGCAAGGTTCCGTGAAAACGTTTCAGCTTTTATTTTCCTTTTTCGCCCTGAAGAAGACATCACAGGTTCATCAAGTTCATCGAAATGATCCATCCTCGATCACTTTTAGTCAGCTTTGACGAAACTAGTGATGTGTCGTTCGTGAACGAGCCGGTGTAGTGCTGAAATTTGCACCCTGCCAGATTATGCACCCCCTAGTATTCGGTTGTTAAATGGTGATGTAAGAAGCGCTGTTTCCAGGTCCAAGCCACAACTCGCTTCCCTTGAGAGTATTACCTCAGCAGCCGTTTATGAGCACTGTTTATTCATATTAAACATTTAAGCTAAACGTTTTCAAACTTACGGTCTACACTACAGTCTCCATGCTCACAGCGTCCCAAGCACAAATCATTTTTATATTTATTTATTTATATTTATATTTTCATTGTCTGGCCATCTGGGATTTCGGTATAGAGTTAAAGATTAGGATTATAATTTTTTTTGGTAGTATTATATCACATTGTGAGTGTATATTAGCACCTTTTGTTGTTTTCTCGTGGTATCTGATAGAGCGTTTGGGCACGGAAGCGGTGACACGTGACGTCAGACTTAACAAGCGGATTGGTAGGTTTAGGGTTAGGTGTGGGGGAGGGGTTAGGATTAGGGGTGGGGTTGGGATTAGGCAATCAGGTAGCGACTTCAAGGAGGGGGTGCATAATCTGGCAGGGGTGCAGAATTCGGCACAACACCAGCTCTAAGAGCCGATTCTTTGTAGCGGATGAGAAGAGCCGACTCCCGTCGGGGAGAGCCGAATCTTCAGCCGGAGCCTTCTATTTTACACCAATTTAGCAATTGTGAATGGTTTGTGTTGGTAAGCAATGTTTTTCATGTAGTCTTTTCCTTATTTTTATGCATTTTTTCGTTACAAAAAAAAAAAAAACACCTGCGGCTAATCACATGGGAAGGCAGGTTAGGCACTTTCCATTTTAAAAGCCTTATTTTTATGTATTTTTCGTTACAAAAAATTTAATAGAATACACATGTGGCTAATCACATGGGAGGACAGACTAGGATCATACCATTATGTGAAAGAAGGGAGGGGAACAAACGCTCCGGAGATAGCGAATGTAGTGGTACAGGCCAGGCAGGTACACAGAGTGATAGGGGAGCCGGATTTAAACGCAAGCGTGTTGGTTAAGGTAGGAAGACACTGCAATTTGCTGCAACATCGGTCCCCTCAGAGAGAGTCTTCTCAAAAACAGGACAAATAATCACAGAGAGGAGAAATCGCATCAGCACATCCAAGCTGAGGCATCTGATATTCATGAATGCCAACCTGCACTAAAGACTAAAGTGCTATTATTAAAGTTTTATTAAAATGTTAAATAATATATTATCTGTGTATTTTTTTGTAACGAAAAAAAGCTTTTATGAAAACACTGAATACAAAATTGCTTACCAACACACAAACCATTCACAATTGCTAAATTGGGTTAAAATAGAAGGCTCAGAGTGATACTAAATAAAGGGCCATTTGGGAGCCGTAAGAGCCGGCTCTTCTAAGGGAGCCGAGCCAAAAGAGCCAAACTTCCCATCACTAGACGAAACACTTCTTGCAAGTGAAATTAGCCTTGTCACCTGACCTGAATACAGCGCGCTGATTCGCTAAAATGGACTTATCGGCTAGGGATGGGCGATACCCCTTATTTTGTTTTCGATAGGATACCGATATTTTTCAAGGCAGTATCGTCGATATTGATACCGATTCGATACTTCTGCACTAAACTTTTAAATTATGAAATGTATTAAATTATTAAATTACTAAGAGTAAAATGGGTAATGAAAACCACTTTACTTTGTTTAAAATGCAGTTTAACCCGTTTAATTCCACATTTTTCCCAGACATGAAAATATCCAAATGATGTGTCATTAGTAACCTTTGAAATAATCAATAATTAAATTTTTTTATTTTTTTTTGGAAAAGTGTGTGAAAAATTGTATTTTATGGTCAGTCACAATTGTAACCGGTGGGATAATGTGTATACTGAATTAACACATTTCTGCAGTCTTAAAAATTGTTATATATCCTAGCCCAGCTATTTTAAACTGTTTGATCACATTCTAGGGTTACTATTATGCATAAAAAACCCTTATACAAACATTTGGTTTGAGTATCGATACTTTCAATACTCGCGTCAGTATCGATATATCGATACTTCGGATCGATACGCCCATCCCTATTATCGGCTTCTGTTCACAAACAACAAGGGCGCTTGTTGGCTTCTGCAGTAAAACGTGAACTCGCGATGCCTTGAAAGTGGACAAAACCGTCTTTTTTGACAAAACGTGTTTAAGGTTCAGATCGCGCTATATGTGGAGAATAATGCATGGCAATCAGCTCATTTTTTTTAAAGTGGCGTTTATCGGTTTTTGCAAATAAACTCTTCAAATATACCTGACCTGCTGACAAGTAGTTATTACAGAATGTTGTTTATACACTGAATAGTAAAATAATTGATGAAATTATATTAAAACCTACACCCTTACTACCATTCAAAAGTTTGGGGTTAGTATAATAATATTCATTTTATTTTTGAAAGAAGTTCATTTTATGTTTCTTGAGCAGCAAATCAGCATATTAGAATGATTTCTGAAGGATCGTGTGACGCTAATGATGCTGAAAATTCAGCTTTGCCATCAAAGGAGTAAATTACATTTTAAAGTATATTCAAAAAGAAAACATCCATATTTGTAAGAACATTTGACAATATGTCTCTTAGTAGAGTAGAGACCTTTGATATAGCTTTAGTGAGCATAAGAGACTGCTTTCAAACATATTACAAAATCTTACAGACCCCAAACTTTTGAACAGTGTACTTTTATTCCATAGAGTACAAAAGGAGGTGCTTTGCTGAATGTAGGACGTTCAATTTCAAGCTCTGATGATAGCTTTGAGTGGGAAGAATATCTCTTTTGTGTTCCATTGCAAAATTAAAGTCCTATTGATTTCGAACCACGTGAGGATGTGTTAATAACGGCAGAATGTTCATTTTGGTTGGACTATTTCTTTTAATGATCAGCATTCCTATCTCGCGGTTTTCTGGGTGGTTGAGTGGATGCATATTTTATGTTCTGTGTGTGTCTGTTTGTCAGTGGGCGAATGGATGATAGTGCATGATTTTCTAAAATTGCATGAACTGCTTTCAGTATTGCAACTCTTTTCTCTCTTGCTTTCCCTTGGTTTCTTTCCTCTCCTTCTCTCTCCTCATGTGATGCAGTCCAGCTCTTGACTGACAGGTCTATATAAATGTAAGCCAAAAGAAGTAAAACTAGCCATTAATGTTTATGAGAACTCCATTTGAGGTGATAGTTTAATGTCTCTGCTGTAATAGAGAAGTCATCAACAAGCCCTGTTAAATTGAAGAAGTCGTCTGTGTGTGCATGTCTCAGTGATTTAATAAGACAGAATCTTTTCTGTTAATTGCATAGACACTGAATACAGCGTGGGTGTTGAATTGATGTGTGTTTGATCATCCTTCACAATGGCGAAGCAGTAAATGCTCCAGGGGATTCTGGTCTTTTTTAAATATGGTCCCAGCTGTGTGCTTCCCTTGGCAGTAATGAACCATACCTTTTATATGACCGTTCTACGTGACAATAGACCATCGGTCCAGTCCCTTTCTTTGATAGATAACTGATGAGCTTTATATGACACAGATGTGACCAAATATCATCACTCAGGTAGTCAGGCCACAAAAGTAGGGCGGATGGATTTTGGTCTTAGGGCTAGTCCTTTGTCATTTGGAACAAGGTTGTGTTTTTATTAATTTATTTAAACTTTCATTTTCCACAGGGGTTCGTTCCTTAAAAGTGAGAAAAAATCACCATACAGTACATTATCATATGCAAGCAAGTCACTAAATAGTGTGTGTTGTGTTGTGTTGTGAAATGTATGTCAATTACATTAATCTGATGTTTTTTGGTATATTATTAAATATTCTGTGAGATAATTTTGTGTATTTAATGAAAATATACAAGTTTGGAATCAGTAAGATTTTTGAAGTAAATTAATACTTTTATTCAACAAGGATGCATTAAATTTATCAACATTTATATTTTTGCATTTCATAGATTTTTACATAGTTTCAAGTAAATGTACTTTATATGTATGTATGTATTTATTGTGTGTATGTTTGTTTGTTTATTTTTTACTTTCTATTTGTCAAAGAATCCTCAAAAATAAATCACGGTTTCCACAAAAATATTGAACAGCACAATATATATTATTTAAAAAAACTGCATGATACAATAATGTATTTGTAATTGGGCAAAATTTCATTTAATTTTATATTTTTAATTATAAACCCCTATCCCTAAATATGAGAATAAAATCGTATTTTAATTTAAAATGATCATTTAATACTAAGTTTATATTTTTAATTATAACCCTAAATATGAGAAGTAATATTTTAACAAAATATTTTTATTTAATCCTAAGTTTGTTTTTAATTATAAACTGATCTTTAAATATGAGAAAAATCTAATAATATTTCAATTTAATTTTATAATTTAATACTAAATTTATATTTTTAAGTATAAACCCCTATCCCTAAATATGAGAACAAATCATAGTATTTTACTTTAATGTTATAATAAATACCAATTTTATATATTTCTTTTACATTATAAACCCTTATTCCTAAATATGAGGAAAAACATACGTCTAGGTGTTTCTAATGTATTTATCATCAATTTATATCAAAATGTTTAGCTTTGAATAAGCGGATGTAGTATGATGTATGTATGGTTTGTGTTTCAGATGACCTGGAGGCTGTGCCAGTCAGGCAGTTTATCAAACACATCATGGAGCTCTACTCCAACAACCAACATGGCTTTTCTCAGGAGTTCGATGTGAGTGTGGTCTTTGTAGTTGGAGCGTGTGAGAATGTGTGTGTATGTGCTCTGGACATGTACCGGTGCTCCCAGTAGCAAAGAGGCACAGATGGCTATGGTAAAAGGACTAATTAAAGAGGAGAGCCTCATTAAAATCACTCCTCTCGCTGGAGGAATCTATGCAGGAATGCAGGGAAGCTTGAGTCTGGTTCATGCCCACAGCAAACATTTACAAGATCACAATCCAATATGGACACATCCAAAAGCAAGAACTGGGTCTCCTGAAGAAGATTTACTTAAAAACGTTGATGCTTACCAGTATCGGCGATGCAGCAGGTATCAATTCGTTACAGAGGTGCTTGATTTTACAGATATTGAAAGACGAAATCTGCACGGCAGATTAATGTCTGCTTCATTACGGCTCACTGGGGAGCTAATTATTATGCTGCTGTATAAAATTTATTTCAAATTGCATTGATGTGACAATAATTGAATGATTTGGACAAATGGGGCAATTTATGTCAATTCTAATGAAAGTGTGGCTAATTACTGGAATAATTAACTAATTATTTTGGAAATGAGTCTTAGATAATATGGTCAACAAAATTTCAACAAAGCAGTTCTAACATGACTGCATTCAGAATTAAATAATCTAAGTAAGTATTTATTACTGTTCAAAAAAAAGTTACAGTTATCACAGCCTCACGTATAACCCATGTGAAATCCAGTTATCATATCATATTTAATTTTTATTTTTAATCCAAATTGGTGTAAAACCTTTTAACAGTAGAAACATCCTTTTTTTAATTGCTGATACTGTTTACAGTTTGTCACATGAGAAATAGATTGTGAATTGGTGTGTTGTTTACTGCACTTTACATCTATATAGTCCATGCACACAGAAATTATGCATATTGTGCACAATATACATGCTCTCTGTACTGCAGAAATAAGAAATGTAGCATAGTAGTATGCTATTTTCAACATAGTGTAGTCTGTGAATTACAATACCTGCAACTAATAATTTGAAATCATACCTTCCCTGCAGGAGGTTCAACACTGCACATCTGAAATGAAGATTACAGCAGAACATTCAAATCACCCAGACAACAAGCACAAAAACAGATACATCAACATTGTTGCTTGTGAGTTGATTATTATGTGGCAAGCATGAACATTTACCTTCTTAAATATACTGTGAATTCTTCTGTGATGAAGTGCTAGCAGTGCATGCAAGTTGAAGATAAAAGATTTTAATATCCATTTCTCACTCTTGCATGCACTGCTAGTGTTTCTAAATAGCTTACGTAGAATCTCAAAGACTGATTTGAATGATATATCATGTATTGCTTTTTAATATCCAGATGATCACAGCAGAGTGAAGTTGCAGCAACTGTCTGGGAAAGACTCCAAGCACAGTGATTACATCAATGCCAACTATGTAGACGTAGGTATTTTATTACTAAGTGCATGCTTGTTGCTTTAATGTTTGTTTTATAATGAAATATTCTCCCTCTCAGGGTTATAAAAGACCCAGGGCTTATATAGCCGCTCAGGGCCCTCTCAAGTCCACGTTTGAGGACTTTTGGAGAATGATTTGGGAACAGAACACCACTGTGATTGTCATGATCACCAACTTGGTGGAGAAAGGCAGGGTGAGTGACTGATAACCACTTCATTTTTTTTTTTTAATCTTGCTTCCACAAAGTTTAGTTAATATGCATTAGCATAAAAACAATTTGAGAGCTTTGGTGGAGAGTAAGAATTTAAAGGAGCCGTTCACCCAAAAATCAAAATTGCTGAAAATGTACTCACCCTCAGGCCATCTAAGATGTAGATGAGTTTGTTTCTTCAGCAGGACTTTTAAGACATTTTCAGCATTATATCATTTGCTCAACAATGGATCCTGTGCAGTGAATGGGTGCCGTCAGAATGAGAGTCCAAACAGCTGATAAAACCATCACAAAGTCCACAAGTAATCAACAGGACTACTTGTCCATCTTGTGGAGTGAAAAGCTGTGTGTTTGTAAGAATCCATCATTAAGATGTCTTTGCCTTCAAACCTTTCTGCAAAAATAAGAGTCCTCTATCCATAATATTTCTTTCGCCAGTGAAAAGGTCGTCTGAATCAGGAGAGAAATATGCACAGATTGAGCACTGTTCTAAACAATTATGTTGGTGGATTTTGATGTGTGAGCACAACAGGAGATTTACTTTTTCACTGGAGGAAGTGCTATTATGGATTATAGATTCATATTTTGTTTAAAGTTCAAATGTCCTGATGGATTGTTTTCTTGCAAACAAGCAGTTTTTCACTTCACGTTGTGTTAAGTGATGGACTGGAGTCATGATGATTACTTGTGGATTATTGTGATGTTTTATCAGCTTTTTGGACTCTCATTCTGATGGCACCCATTCACTGCAGAGGATCCACTGGTGAGCAAGTGATGTAATGATAAATTTCTTCAAATCTGTTCCAATGCAGAAACAAATGCATCTACATCTTGGATGCCCTGAGGGTGAGTAAATTTTCATTTTTGGTTGAACACTTCTGTTGTAGACGTTGATGTTTTAAAAAGCAAAACAGAAGATGCTTTTGTTGTTTTTACAGAGGAAGTGTGATCAGTATTGGCCATCAGAGAACAGTGAGGTTTATGGGAACATAATGGTAACTCTGAAGAGCACTAAAGTTTACGCTTACTACACACTCCGCCATTTCATCACACGCAACACCAAACTGAAAAAGGTGCGTTTGAGCATTTATACAGTGTTTATACAGCAATTAAGTATTAGACGCTGCATTTTGACCTCTGGTTTGTCTTTTTCAGGGTCAGAAGGGAAGGCATAATGAACGGCTGGTTGTCCAGTACCATTACACGCAGTGGCCAGACATGGGCGTACCTGAGTATACACTACCAGTCCTCAAATTCATCTCTCGCTCTTCAGCGGCACGCACGCCGGGCACAGGCCCCGTTCTAGTTCACTGCAGGTACAGTACTGACTGCTATGGAAATATAAGCTCCGTCCACTAGCGTCTGAAACGTCAGTTCCAGTGTTGTACTTTCCAACTGTGCAAGCTTTCCCATCCCTACATCATATTCAGTGGTTGAAAGTGTGAGCCTCTTTGCTTTGTAGCAAAATGAGATGTCGTTTTTATCAAGCCATCTCTTTCTCTGTGTCCTGCAGTGCTGGAGTGGGCAGAACAGGCACATACATAGTCATAGACAGCATGCTGCAGCAGATAAAGAACAAAGGCACTGTCAACGTCCTGGGATACCTCAAACACATCCGAGCTCAGCGTAACTACTTGGTCCAGACCGAGGTTATTACCTGTTTGATTTAATACACTATATTTCCACATACTCAAAACGCATGCTCAAATCACTGGCTGTTGCTGTTTTTTGAAGTAATATTAGTGTTCTGCTTACTGCATACTGTGCTGTATATAGTATATACTCCAGACTCTTTGTTAAAATTGTATGTGCAACTGTGTAGCATGCAATTAAAAACGATTCCAAATGTATTGCACTTCATTTTGTCACATGACCTTGTTGTTTTGCATGTTGCATAACGGTTACTTTCGTTGACTAAACGTAAAACTAAAACTATTAAAAATAAATGTTTTTAATAAAAAATAATGCTGCAATTAAATATAAATATTAGATGAAAAACAAATGAAATGAAAACTAGAAATGTTGCCTTGGCTGATTAAAATTCAAAGCACATAATAAAATTACTAAACATTAAATAAAAATGAAGATGAAAGCTGGAAATGTAAAAATAAAAGCTAATTTAAAATATTATTAAAACTATATATATACTAATTCATTCAGGTTTTAATTAACTCATTTTAAAATAACACTGTTGCATTTAGCACTTATTTTGCATTTGTTAAACTCCATTTTGTGTAAGATACAGTGGGTAAGATTGCATTGTGGGATACAGTGTTCTCTGATAGTATACTACACATTTTGGCAAATGTAGAAGGTCATTTGTGTATAACAAGCATATAGAACATTTACATACTGTTCACACTCTGCATACTGAAACAATAGCATGAGTAGAATTGCAGTATGCCATTCTGAACAAAACTGCATTTTGTTATTTTTTGCAAATATAATGTTGTGATGTCACATACCTAATGCAACATGGTTTGTTTTAATGGCTGTGCATGTGTGACCTACAGGAGCAGTTTATTTTTATCCATGATGCATTAATGGAAGCTGTGCTTAGCAAAGACACCGAGGTGCCTGCCTGGCAACTCCATAGTTATGTCAACAGCATTCTCACCCCCAGCCCCACGGGACAAACACGAATGGACAAACAGTATAAGGTCTGGGCTTGATGACTGTGTTGTGACTCTATGCAATTGTATTGAGATGTTCATTTTCTCAGTTAGACAACTAACCTGCTCCTCCTTGTGGATGCTCTTGTTATTGTTCCTCCAGTTGTTGACGCAATGCAATTCTCACCTCACTGAGTGTTTCAGTGCCCAGAAAGACTGCAACAAAGAGAAGAACCGCACCTCGTCAGTCTTGCCAAGTGAGTCGCTAAACCTTCCAAACCCATATATCAAAATCAACAATCCTGCTTTGTTGCAATATGGATTTTGCTGTATTCTCAGTGTACAGTGTGGTAGCACCATTTAAAAAAATATGCTTCTGTCATTTTTATATTTCTATTTAGCTTTCATTTATTTTATTTTAGTTATAGTTTATTTTTTTGTTTTCAGACTCATTTTTTTTAGTTTAAGTTTTCATCTAATATTATTTTCTTTATTTAAATTGCCAAAAACTGATGATCTTTGATCATCTTTATTTAAATTGCCAAAAACTGATGATCTTTGATCTTTTTTTCTTTCTTTTTTTTGAATTTTGTAAGCTATAACAACACTACAAATCCTAATAACTATTGTTACCAATTTATTTCCATGGGAAAATGAACAGAAACATCCAATAGACTTAGCAATTTTTTAAGAAAAAAGGTGAACTATAGTAAAAAAAAAATCCCCAGTGATATTTTAGTATTATGAATGTACCATTATATTATTTATTAATATTTTGAATTAGCCATATTTTTTTATATTTTCAGACTTCATTTTAATTTTAGTTGAATTTTTAATGATTTTATGTTTCTGTAAATTTCTATTTAAATTTCATTTATTTTATTTCAGTTATAGTTTAAGTAGTACTTGCCTTATTTATTTCAGTTAGTTGGCATTCAACATTTCATTTTTTTAAGTTCTTCGTCTAATTTTTTTTTCTTTTACATTTTCTTTTGAATTTTGTTAGCAATAACAACTCTGCCAATCCTGATAACCATTGTTACCAATTTGTTTCCATGGGAAAATGAAATATCCAGTAGGGTGGAATAAAATAGTAGATCTAAATATGTAGAATAAAATAGATATGCTTCTGACATGACTACAGTCGTCATCTGAGTGTATCTGAGTGTATAATTGACTTCTTCTGGAAGATTACTTTTAAAAAAACATAAAGGTGACAAAGAATGGCAAACAGTATTTTAAAACACAATGACTCAATCAATGGTAGAGTACAAGGTGTGGTTTGCTGTGACTGTTATAGTGAGTTGTTTATCATTGATGTTTTGCCCCTCAGTGGAACGGGCTCGGGTGGCACTAGCTCCCCTCCCAGGAGTAAAAGGAACAGACTACATCAATGCCTCCTACATTATGGTACAGCAACAAGACTTTACTGGAACATTATACATCATTTTTCATCATATTTAATAATGCATGGAACATGAAGTATTTGTGTAACTTGCATTCCAGCTCCTTATCTCCTCGTCTCAACATTAGCTGTGATTTTCTTTTAGAATGAAATCAATGTTTATCCACTCACAGGGCTATTACAGGAGCAACGAGTTCATCATTACCCAGCATCCTCTGCCCCACACAACCACAGACTTCTGGAGGATGATCTGGGATCATAATGCTCAAGTTATTGTGATGTTGCCAGACAACCTCGGCCTCGTGAGTACAGCGTCGAAGAGCTACTTATGAACATGAGTTTTTAAGTGGATTCATACTGCGTTATGTAACTTGTGTTCTTTTTATAAATGGCCAGCAGCTTGCGTTCTCAATTGTTTCATACCAGCAGGTTATCATGGCACTTGTACTTTGAGTTCAGTTGAATTATTACATTATATAATACTGAGTTAACTTAAAATAATATCTAAAGAGACAAATTAAAGACAAATTATAGGGAAATTGGTCATTTCTGGTTTACAATGTATTGCTTAATTTGTTTAACATTTATTATAAAATCACTTGCATTTGCTTGTAAATATTTTGTAAATATTAACTAACTATTAATTAAATATATGTGGAAACATGCTCAACATTTATAAATTAGTTAAATCTGTTAGTATTATATAAGTATATGATATGATATATGATACGATACGTTATGATATGCCCTTCTCTTCTTTTTATAGACTGAGGATGAATTTGTGTACTGGCCCAGCAGAGAGGAGCCCATGAACTGCGTGGCCTTCACTGTCACCCTCATTAACACTGACAGACTCTGTTTGTCTAATGAGGAACAGCTCGTCATCCACGACTTCATCCTGGAAGCCACACAGGTACCTCAGTCACCACACAAACATCACTCTTAAATTGGAAATCCGCATGAAGTTAGTTTAAGTTTAATGGTAACTTTAACAATTGATGCACAAATGTAACATTCAAAGTAAAGTTATTACGTCTTTCTAAACAAACAAACAAATAAATAACAAAATTCTTATATTTGTGTCCTTTTAAAAAAAAAAAAATTTATTTACCTTTTTGTAGTTTTTCTTTTTGATTTTTGTTGATTTGTTTCTTAATTTTCTTATTAATTGAATCACAGTATTACTAAGCAGGAAAATAAATAACCTACAAAATATGTAAGTATATAATATATAGTGCAAGGATCCATTATATTTTTCAAAAGAGACAGAAAAGACATTTATAAGGTTATGAAAGTTTTTTTTAAATGTTTAATGTTTTCAACATTAATAATAAGAAATGTTTCTTGAGCACCAATTCAACATATTAGCATGATTTCTGAAAAATCATGTGACACTGAAGACTAGAGTAATGATGCTGAAAATTCAGCTTTGCCATCACATGAATAAATTACATTTTAATATGTGACCCTGGACCACAAAACCAGTCTTAAGTCGCTGGAGTATATTTGTAGCAATAGCCAAAAGTACTGTACATTGTATGGGTCAAAATTATAGATTTTTATTTTATGCCAAAAATCATTAGGATATTCAGTAAAGATCATGTTCCATAAAGATATTTTGTAAATTTCCTACCGTAAATATGTCAAAACTTAATTTTTGATTAGTAATATGCATGGCTAAGAACTTAATTTGGACAACTTTAAAGGCGATTTTCTCTGTATTGTTTTTTTTTTTGCACCCTCAGATTCCAGATTTTCAAATAGTTGTATCTCTGCCAAATATTGTCCTATCCTAACAAACCATACATCAATGGAAAGCTTATTTATTCAGCTTTCATGTGATGTATAAATCTCAATTTCGAAAAATTGACCCTTATGACAGTTTTTGTGGTCCACGGTCACATATATTAAAATAGAAAACTGTTATTTTGAATTTCAAGGTTTCACAGTATTACTATTTTTATTTTAGCAATCTTAGTGAGATTAAGAAACTTCTTTCAAAAACATAAAGATGGATGGATGGATGGATGGATGGATGGATGGATGGATGGATGGATGGATGGATGGATGGATGGATGGATGGATAGATAGATAGATAGATAGATAGATAGATAGATAGATAGATAGATAGATAGATAGATAGATCTTTAAAAAACAACAGCTAGGTACTTGATTTAATGTTCTAAGTTTCTGCTTTACCATTAAAATTGAAAGCAACCAGCCCAATTTAGCTGCACTTGTTGGTTGCATAACTGTTTTATCTTTGCTGTGCAGGACGACTATGTTCTAGAAGTCCGACATTTCCAGTGTCCAAACTGGCCAGATCCTGATGCGTCCATCAGCAGCACATTTGAACTTATCAACATCATCAAAGAAGAGGCCATGACAAGGGATGGTCCCACCATCGTGCATGATGAGTGAGTGCATGAACCAAGAGTAGTAGTGCATGTAACCAGAGGGAGAGAGCGCCTCATGGATTGTGTGTTTCAGGTTTGGAGCTGTCTCATCCGGGATGTTCTGTGCTTTGACCACACTTTCCCAACAATTGGAGAACGAGAGTGCTGTGGATGTCTATCAAGTGGCCAAAATGATTAACCTCATGAGGCCTGGCGTCTTCACTGAAATTGTAAGTTCCTCATAATACAAGTCTGCTTGATGATGAATTAAATTAAAGAGAGGTCGTTGGGGTTTTGTGTAAAAGTTTGACACAGTACGGTTGGAGTTCCAAAATGTTCTTTTCCTTCATTGTGTTTATTTCCTTTTTTTACTATTTCTCTCTACCTCTTTTAGGAGCACTATCACTACCTTTACAAGGCTATGCTCAGCCTTGTCTGCAGTAAAGACTTCAGACTTGGCTTTAACTACATGGACAAAATTGCTGGGATAGTGGAAACAGATGAATCCAACCAGGCTGAGAGCATGGAGTCCTTGGTGTGACGTTTCCGGAAAATGAGATGGAACAAAGTGGTTCCTTGAACTTTCCATGAGGCCTTTTTTCCCCAGACAAAAAAAAAAAACGAGCTTTTATATACTGATAAAAAATAAATTCTTTTGATATTTATTTTTGCTGCTTTTTGTTATCCTGCTGAGCGCCACAACCTTCTCTCCAAAACACACACAGACACACACGCACACACACACACAGTCTACTTTGCACTACACTGTCAGTGTTACTACTTGATGCCTAGCTGGTTATTGATAATTGTGTTGAAAACGTTTCTGAGTATCACTTTATTCATGCCGAAAAAGTCTACAGACTTGTGAGGGTGATCAGCGACAGCACATTAACACACACATCAGCCTCATACCCATGAAAACTGTACACAGAAAAACTCCCAACTTAATGCTCATAATGATGCGACTTTTAACCGTCAAGCATTGTGACTTGTTAGATTAATGTTCTTTTTTTATTTATTAAGATAATGCCATTTTATGTCTAACTTATATACATTATTTCAGTGTGGTATCATAACAGCAACTGTGAACATATATTGTTATCAGTAGCATTTCTATTGTTTTGTAATATATAAAGATATTGATCAAAAATGTGTCTCGTTTCCTTTATTTGAGTTACAAGCATTTACTTGGACTCTTTCTAGGAATGGTGACCGTTCTAGTTAAATCATTACACAACATATTTGGAATTCATATAAATATCTGAACTGAAAAGTACTTGAAAAGGTTAAACAACCTCTTAAATCTAAAATCATCACGTCTAGTCAATGAAACGACTCTGATGAAGATGTTTACTGATACACAGCGCTGAACAATCAGGATCAACATTTGGAATGTGTTATTTTTTTATATATTATTTATTATATTTTGGCTATGGATAATAAACAGTATGCATAATACAAATCTTTACTGTTGTGTATGAATTTTTTTTTAAAGGTATATCAGATTTATTCCAACAATGCAATACATTTTAATGTCCCCATCATATATTTTATGTTTTAATATACTGTTAGACTTTTAAAACGGGTGTTTTACAATGAAGTCAAATGAGCATTCTTACATGTTTTTCTTCACTATTAAGCGGACAGCAGAAGCAAAAAAATCTTTAATTTCATTTGGGAAGAAACGAGCTGTGCACTTACATTTAATCATTTAGGAGGCGCTTTTTTAAAAATAAAAGATAAGTTTTGTTGCTAAAATGTAAAAGACACTAGACAAAAACTATTTTAGTACTTTAACTTCCGCTTTCCCCATCACTGAACATCTCAAGTAAATAACATGGATGTTATACTCATATCTGCCACTAGGAGCACTATATCTATGAGAGCAGTCCACTATTACACAGGGAGGGGTGCTTCTGCTTTCATCAGTACAGTGTTCTGTTACACAAATGACACCGGAATCTTTGTTGCACTTAAATTGTTCAGAAATAACACTTGATGTAATTATATTTTATGTATATATATATATATATATATATATCACCAGCAAAGCAAACATGATTGCACACCAACAATGTTTTTTTCCCTTTTCTCCACCCGTGTACATGAAAAAATGAGCTCGCCCACGTGTGACGCATTTCCTTCATGACTAAGGTAATGCCATCTTGATGCGAAAATAGTGTCGCACGAGTTGTATAAAACGGAGTGTTATCGTCTTTATATAGTATACAAAGATTGCATTATTTTGCTTTATTCTGATTAGAACAGAAACCGACACTGTTAAGAGTGTCATTTTCCGTGAGAGTTTTGTTAAGTGGCTCGTTCATTCCGAGCAGTCACATTTTTCTGAGGAGCGCTGCTGCTAGTGGCGCTAACAAAGGAATATCTGGATCCGAGCGGTTGTTCATTGGTAAAGGTATTTGATTTTTTTCACTATAACACATAAATTAATATGTATCTAGACCGCATATCGACCTATTAGTGGTCTGCAGATGCCGTATTTTACTGTTGCTAAGCATTAAGGATTCGCGTGTTGTTTGCACGCGCTAATTACTGAAGTCGCGCGCACGGCTAGCTCGCATTACAACTAGTGGAAGGGATTTTGATTCATCTCGGCGATTCGAATCTTTTAATTCGGTTCGCTAAAAAGATTTATTCTGTGACACGTTTTGATATTTTGATATTTTTTTTGATATTATATAAGTCATTGAATTATTCGCTTAGCGAAACTTGTACGCCGCTACTTCTATAGTTGTTGTTCTGTTGTATTAGAACTCGTTTCGACATATCTACATCTAACGTTCTAAGTAGAGGTCGACCGATAGTGGATTTTACCGATACCGATAGTTAGGTTGGACCACACTGGCCGATACCGATTAATTAACCGATAGTTTTTAAAATGGTTACTGAACAAAAACGAAAATAGTGCTTTATTAAAAAAACAGTACTGAACCATACTAGTAGTAGTAGTGATATTAATAATACTAAATGTTGAAATAAACACACTCGAACAATACTTACACAGCTTTCATTAATCTTAATGTTACAAATGGACTCTTATTTCAAAGTGTTACCATTTCATTTCAACAGCCATGCTTAAAGATGCACATCTTTAAATATATACACAAAGGCCATAGCATTAAAATGATATACATATGGACATTGTATATATACACTCACACTTTTAACTGCTTCTGTTCTTGAACACTTGATTATCTGATCAAAATTCATTCAAAATAAAAGCGCAGTGCTGAGTCTAGGAGAACTCACCGGTATCACACACACTCCGGACGCGTCACATTCAACTCGAGCAGCGGTCTTAAAACAGTTTATTTAATCACCAAACTGACACAAGTTTACTTCAAGAATGAACAATGAGGCATAGATGAGTTTGAAGTTCGGTGTTTAAAAAACGGAGCAAACGGAAAGAGAAAGCGCAATCTATATTATAGCGCTATAAATGAAGCATACCGACTTTATTAGAGCTACAGAAAGACAAACGTTTTGCTGAAAATACACAATTCATTATGTACATTAACAACGATTCGGGACAAATATAATGTAATTTAATGGAAAACTATGTGAATGGCGATCTGTGGCGCGGCAGGATTTTCTGTCGGCTGCATTTAAATCCGCGTCTGAGGTTTCCCGCTCTGTTCAGCGTGCAGTATCACGTGTCTAAACAAATAGCACATGCTGTCAGTGACCCTTCTCAGCCGCTCCAGCAACGGATGCAACCCGGAAAACTTATCGGCATGGATTTTTGCCAATGACCGATCGTTCCAGCAATCAATTATCGGTGCCGATTAATTGGCAAAGCCGATACATCGGTCGACCTCTTGTACTAAGTATAACAAATTTCCAAACAAATGACCACAATGCACACGTTATTTTAACAATAATAGTGAGTTGAATTGTGAGTGTCAATAACATTTCATTCACGAAGGAGATCAGTGCTATTTTGACTCTTAATTCATAAAACACCGACTCGTTTAGTGAAGGGGGCGTGGTCGTTGGTCACGTTCAACCAATGATACAGCTCCTTCACAGCCTGCACTCGATTGCTATTGGTTCGCTATAGCCAGTGTTTGATTACATGAAAACAGTCAGATTTATGAATCAAAGTGACCGAGATAGATTCGCTCAAAAACACTGATTCTTTCACGAAGGAAGCGCCACTCATTATACTATTTACTCCCCAACAGCTCGATTGAGGAGAGATGGCCGAGATGTACATTCGCGTCGCGGAGGAGGAGAATGAGGAGCCGATGGAGATCCCATCGGAGGACGACGGGACTGTGCTGCTGTCCACGGTGGCCGCTCAGTTTCCAGGGGCTTGTGGCCTGCGTTACCGGAGCCCAGTGTCTCAGTGCATGAGGGGGGTCCGCCTTGTGGACGGAATCTTACACGCCCCTGAGAACGGCTGGGGAAACCTGGTCTATGTGGTCAATTATCCCAAAGGTAGGTCATATGGTCATTACGAATTAGCCTCTGTCTCAGTTTAGAATATAAATATGAAAATTTTCTAATAATTGTCAAAAGCACGTTTTATAATATGAAATGCCATCATTAGCCCTAGCTTCTCCCCCTAGAAACATCAAGAATAGGGGTAATTTTTGCATGCATTTTAGGGTTAATTTAGGCATGTGCCTAACATTGTACTTAAACATTGAGCTTGTATGTTATAATAAGCAAAGTTGAGCAGCACAGTCGGATGATGGAAACATTTGTGCTTCTGTGTTTCTATCTTTAGCTGTAAAAAAAAAAATCCAGCTCAACTTGATTTAATGGGGTTGTTTTTGTTTCATGAAGGGTGATTGACATTATGCAGATGTGTGAACATGTAACAAGTGAACTTTTCTTTTCTAGAAACGGTCCTGCCAGATAATAAGAGGAAGATGGATGAGATCGATGCTTCATCTGCAACTAAGATCAAGAGAGGAGATCAGAAGACTTCAGATCTGATTGTGCTGGGTCTGCCGTGGAAGACTTCAGAACAAGACTTAAAAGACTACTTCAGTACGTTTGGGGAAGTCATCATGGTGCAGGTAAGATATACTGACATAAATGTAACACTCCAGCTGTGATTGTCTTTGTACTGCCATATTTTGGTGAAAGCTACCCATGATTTCTATCTCTGTGTCTAATGTTTCTAACTTTTTATGTGGCTTTTAAAAATAGAACTGGGCTCAGCTGTCAGTCATGAAGTCAGATTAGATCTGGTATGAACGCAGCTCTTGACTTGATTCTGTTACATTAGGTGAAGCGGGACGTGAAGACGGGAAACTCAAAAGGATTTGGGTTTGTGAGGTTTACAGAGTGGGAGTCTCAGGGTAAGGTGATGTCACAGCGGCACATGATTGATGGCAGGTGGTGTGACTGCAAACTACCCAACTCAAAGGTCAGTGGGTTTTTTTTGTTTTTTTTTTACACTACCATTTAAAAGTTTGGTGTAAGATTTATTTTAAAATATTTTTGAAAGAAGTCTCTAATGCCCATGAAGGTTGCATTTGTTTGATCAAATTTACAGTAAAACAGTAGTATTGTGAAATATTACTACAATGTAAAAAAAACCTATTATATTTTAAAACGTAATTTATTCCTGTATTGGCAAAACTGAATTGTTAGCAGCCATTTCTCCAGTCTTCAGTGTCACATGATCCTTTAGAAATCAATCTAATATGCTGATTCGATGCTCAATAATCATTTCTTTATATTAGTAATTTATTATAAATGGTTGCACTGCTCAGTATTGCTTTTGGAAACTAAAACACTTTCAAAATTTAGTTTTGTAACATTGTAAAATGGTTTTTTGTTACTTTTGATCAATTTAATGAACCCAAGCTGAATAAAAAAAAAAACGTCTTACTGATGTCAAACCTTTGATCAGTAGTGTATATGATGAATTATATATGATACTTTAAATCAGTTAGCCATTTATGACAGAAATGTCAGGTTTTCTCTTTTTGGGGTGCTAAACTGAGTGATATGTTTGAATATTTAACAGCAAGGTCCAGATGAACCAATGAGGAGCAGGAAAGTGTTTGTGGGCCGTTGCACAGAGGACATGACCACTGATGAGCTCCGTCAGTTCTTCATGCAGTATGGGGAGGTCACAGATGTTTTCA